CCAGCAGCTGTAGCCAAATGCCACTTAGCGCTTGTCTACATGTAGAATAGAAAACCAAATTATATGGAATTGACATAAATTTTGACACTTGTCAGTGTCATCCCCATACATTTAGTTTTCTACTCTCTCTGTAGACAAGCGCTAAAGTGGCGTGTGGCTAAAGGCCCAGGGCCTCTAGCCAAAAGCACTAAATGGCATTTGGCTACAGCTGCTGGTCTGATGTTTTGTTTTGATTCCTTTTTCTGCTGTGATGTTCCAATATCTTTTTCATTTTCTTGCAATTCGGATAGTCGGTGATATTTAAAGTATTAAAGGTAATTTTAAGTTATTACCTAAGTACAATGGTAGATTAGTTAAGAGATAATCTTTATTTGCATCATTAAAATGAAACTTGCGAATTTAGTGACCTCTAGCGTGTTGGCTGCAATTATGTAGCGGTATAATAATTAAGAAAAATACGTCTTAGAATTTATTTGTGTATAATTTTATTTCTTGTTGTTTGTAAAGATCAGTGTCTGGTTTTACGACCTAAGCTTTAAAATTCAATTTAAATAATTTATATTAAAGCTGAATATACTGAATATCAGAAACCACTGTACGTGGTGTTCATCGATTACCAGAAAGCCTTTGACACAATTCGACACTCTTCTATATGGACCGCCTTAAGATCACAAAACGTTGAACAGAAATATATAAAAGTCATAGAATATTTGTACAACAACTGCACAAGTAGAATTAAACTTGAAACAATGGGTCCACGGATACCCATAAAGAGAGGTGTAAGACAAGGCGACCCGCTATCTCCAAAACTTTTTATAGCCGTACTAGAGATGGTCTTCAGCAAACTTAACTGGGATAGAACAGGGCTAAACATTAACGGCAAGTTTATCAGTCATCTTAGATTTGCCGACGATATTATTCTACTATCCGAGAGTGCTGAGGAGATGGAATCAATGTTACACTCACTAAAAACTATGAGCTACGAAGTAGGCTTGGAAATGAATCTAAATAAAACAAAAATTATGTCCAACAGCAAAAAACACCCGGTATATCTTGATCAAATACCATTAGAATACGTAGACAGTTACATTTATCTAGGCAAACAAGTATCCTTCGGAAAACAAAGTAACGAACTGGAAGTTGAAAGAAGAATCTTAAGCGCATGGAAAAAATTCTGGAGCTTTAAAGAAATATTAAAAGGATCAACGCCTATGAATTTAAAGAAAACACTGATGGATACATGCCTGCTCCCCTCTATCACCTACGGTTGTCAAACATGGAAATACACCCTAGGCGTAAGAAATAAGATCAGAACCTGCCAAAGATCTATGGAAAGAAGCATTACAAATATTAGAAAAATACAAAAAATCCCACACAATATCATACGGGAAAAGACTAAACTGATAGATGTCCTAAACTTCTCACAAAAGTTAAAATGGCGTTGGGCTGGCCACGTAGCTAGGTTGAGCGATGACCGTTGGACCTACAGACTGACATTATGGCGGGGTCCCAGAGGTTTCAGAAAGAGAGGTAGACCTATAACTCGTTGGGATAACGATATTATAAAAATAGCTGGTGAAAAGTGGAAGACAATTGCCAAAGATAGGGATATATGGAAAAGTCTGGAGGAGGCCTTCACCCTCACATAAGAGGGGTTCTTGCATGCTTGCATGATGTTTATTATAATTTATTATATTTTATACACCTTGTAGATTGAATATTCTTGTAATTTTGATTATTATAAATGTCGCAAAATTGAATTTATTATAATTATTTTAAATTTTAAATGTGTAATTAAATTTATATAAAAGTAATTTTAAATCAATAATTGAATTCATTTAGTGATGATTCTCATAACTTTTATAATTATTAATATGGAATATAAATAATTTTACACTAAGAAACCATTATTTAATCATTTTTAATTTTTCATGTTTCTTTTGTTATGTTATGTTTTTCATGTTAAGTAATTTTTGCAAGAAATAAAAGGCTTTTTATTTTATTTTATTTTATTTTATTTTATTATTATTATTATATTAAAGCTAGCTAGTTATAGAAATCGAAACATTCAATAACAAGACACAGTATTTTAATAACTTCCGTGTCGATTCAATTTATCTTTTGATTTAAGTATAAGTTATTATTTATTTGAAATTTATCCTTATTTGCGTAAGTACTCTGTTATGGTTATAATAGGTAGTTACCTATTATCTATATAATAATTAGGTTTAACTTATCAGAATGTATTAATGATGTCGGTGCTTATAAATAGGTAGGTAGGTAAATTAACTAAAAATCGCACAGGCTACTGTCACATCGCTGCGACTGCGTACGCTGCTCATGAGGAATAACCCCTCTGTGATTCGAAACTAGTAGCTTTTCTGGGTATATTCACGTGAGTAACATGTGAGTGGTATGTCTCACTCTCACGATAGTTATTATAAAAAATAGGGAGGTACTTTGACTTCATTTGTGTTTTACATATAACCTATTTTTCTTTTAGATACAAACATAATTATAATTATTGCACGAGGAAAACAGTAGATAGATTTACCTACAATTTTGAAAATATTGAATGTATTTTAGTACCTAACTACTACGTACATGTAGTAGAGTTTTAACTTATTTTCAAACACTTTACCAAAAGACTCCATCCATGTTGAAATTAAAAAAAAAAACTTACACCTCGAATACTGAAAGTTCTCTGTCATTTTACAAAGAATTTGCAGTGACAGAACTATAACTAAGCGCGACTTAAAATTCAGTGATGTTTGAGTATTTGAACATTAATGATGCATTTTCTCGCCCTGTCAAGCCTAGTTATCGAACCACCAGCTTCATTACATAGTATCATACTGAATATGGCATTCATTAACAGCTTAGAGCAAAGCCTCTTCTCACATGGAGAAGGTTGTCAATGTCTCACCACGCTTGTCAATGTGGGTTGGCGATTTCAAACTTATAATTAGAAATTATAAGCCCAGATTTCCTCACGATGTTTTCCTTCACCGTTGGTCAGTGGTGTCTAAATAATCTTAGAAAGTACAAATAACTCGGAAAACTACACATTGGTACTTGCCGTTGGTAGATTTCGATCCCGCTCCCTCGTGCATGAGAAGCAGGCGTCTTCAACCTCCGGGCCATCACAAATATTGCATTACTTAGACATAAAATTGAATCACGTAACGGCTGCAAGCTGCAAGGTATACATAAAACGTAAAGTCATGCCTTACTATAAACTTATCACATGGAGCAGGATATCTTTGTACGTATCTCAGATAAACGACTTACGTATTTACTTTATACAATATGTTATGACTGCGATGTAGAGTTTAGTTGGAGTATATTTAAAATTTACCCAAGTAATTCAGAAGGTAATGGACGAAAATGCACAGGCCATCCGATCTTTACTGAAACTGTAAAGGCTCATCTGTATTTTGTCTTATTTACAGAATAAGAAGATTTTTTTGTTGTTGTTATTACTGCTTATTCCTGTTGTTTTCATATGAATTCTATGTCGTATGGAGCATCATGGCTAATGGCAAATAAATTATTTTTCTTTCTTTATTTTTTCATTTAGGTAGGTCGTAGGTAGTACTAATAAAAATATTTAAACACCAAAACGAGGCAGATAAGCTTGAAGACAAATACAAATAAATATTAATAGAAAGCATATGAATATAATATGAATCTGTTTAAACGTGTTTATTCACCATTCTAAACAATTTTTTTTTCTAATAAAATGACAGCAGCGTTCAGACGGAGTAGACTTGTATCATCATTTCTTTAAGAGCATTATCAACGTAGCTATCTGTGACTGTATTTCAGAAATATGTGGGTACGCTGTTAAGCCAGTCATGATTGTGTAACTGATTAAATTGTACTTTATCATCAAGAAACAAGACTCATAATATTTATACTTATATATCATCATTGATAATGTCATATGCGTTAGATATCCGATTGGCTGTTTACAAAATAGTATAAAATGTGATGTGTAAGCAAACTCATCGTATTTTCGTACTTGTCTCTTGCTTAAGAGTGAATTTCAAAGATCTGAGTTAAAGGAAAAATATTAAATAAATAATTTAAAAATGGTGATAGCTAAGAAATATATAATTCTAGATCCTTTTGAAGGTGAACCTAAGAAAAGTGATTTTGAAATTGTTGAGGAAGTTCTGCCTGAGTTACAAGACAATGGTTTGTAAATACTTACTTACTAGATTCTGTCAGCGACTTTGCCCGTGATCCTGTATAAAAAGTGGCCTAGGTATTATGACAGGCCATAATCAAATTTTTATTTGGAACAAATTGAATTGAATTGAACAAATTGAAAGGGATATCACAAACTTTAGCGTGTATAAGTATTTTGTTACATCATCATCATCCATAGCCTATAAATGCCCATTTCTGAGCAAAGCCTCTTCTCACACGGAAAAGGTTTGAGCATTGATCACCACGCTTGCTCAATGCGGGTTGGTGATACAAACTTATAATTAGAAATTATACGCCCAGGTTTCCTCACGATTTTTTCCTTTACCGTTTGACAGTGGTGTCTAAATAATCTTAGAAAATATAAATAACTCGGTAAAAAATACATTGGTACTTGCCGTTGCTATGTTTTTAGAAGCGCGTCTTATATATACCTCCGGATCACCACGACATACAATTATTTTGTTTACATACTTTTTATTAATACAAATGTTGTTTTGGTATTTTGCTGGATAACACTGACATGTTTGCATAATACCTATGGAATTATTTGTAGGTATCTTAATTGTTTAACTTATGTATAAGTGCTAGTCTCAAAAACAATGAAATTAACGATGTTAGTTTAATTTATAAATCGAGCAATCTAACTACTTATTCAATCTTATGTAGTATTCAAACATTAAGTGAAAGTACCGCAGTAGATATTTGTTGAAATTAAATAAAATTTCATGATTCTTTCAGAATTCCTCGCTGAAGCAGCGTACATTAGTGTTGATCCTTACCAGCGTATGAAACTGGGAGCTTCGTATCCTTGTGATATGATTGGAGGACAGGTTGCAAAGTAAGAATACGTTCAGTTCATTCTTAAGGCACATCTAACAAGTGCGGCTTCGGCACGGCTCCAACCCGGTAATAAACTTGTCATTTAAATATGAACTTTAAATCGTATGTCATATTTCATAAAGTTTCTTTTGTTTTGTTTTCTTTCAAAAAACGCCGTTTTGGAGCCGTGCTGCAGTGCCGTGCCGTGCTTATTAGATGTATGATGACCGTAAAACATAACTGGATGTCTAAATAAACTTAGAAGATATATTACTTATAACTCGTAAAGATTCACGTTTTGGTGCTTGCCAAATTTCGAAATTTGTTTCAGATGTGAATATTAAATGTGAGACCAACATTTCGCTGTTTAAATTTTTGTTATAAAGACCAAATATTAAAGCTCTTGTTTAATAAAGGAAGGTTTCTGGGTGAGTTCAAATCCGGATCCTTCTAATTTGAACCTTCATATAAGTGGATAAAATATGTATTACCTTTTTAGAGTAATTGAAAGCAAAAACCCTGAGTTTCCAGTTGGTTGCTGGGTGATGGGTCATTTTGGATGGAGGACCCATACAGTGACTAAACCAGAAAACGAGAAGTTTAGTGCTCAAAAACCGTATTTGTACAAATTACCTGACTTCGGTGACCTGCCTGTGTCTCTTGCACTTGGTGTGTGTGGAAGAGTGGGGTATGTAGCAAATACATATTAGTGTCTCTGAAAAAATATGAGTGTACGTATCTCACCAACTAACGGTTCGTAAAAGTTATATAATATCGCAAAAGTTATAAATTAACTGTATGATTATTGATTGGTGTTATAGTTGCGCGACTTGATACTGTGAAGTGTTGCGGGAGTGATTCCCACACGGAACATCCATTTGTATTTTAAGGATTTGAGTGTAGAGCCAATAAGGAAATTAAAGGAAAGGAGTCATAAAAAAACATAACGTCACGCCTTTTATCCCCGAAGGGGTAGGCAGAGGTGCACATTACGGCACTTAATGCCATTGTACAACGTAACACCCAATGTTCACTTTTTATGTTATGAGTCCTATGTAATAGGGGTTGAGTCTATTGCCATATACCGGGCACAAAATTATACAAAAATAAGAAAAATAAAGAGAAACAAGTCATTAAATTATCTACTTGTAACTTCACTGTCCATAAGCGGCCCTGATCACTATCATTAGGTCATTCGTCTTGCATTGTGTTTACTCTATTCCATAAAAAACCAGGGTAACAATAACTCCATTAAACTATTGGTATTTTCTCATTACAGGAACAGCGCGTACTTCGGTTTTACGGAGATCTGTAAACCCAAGGCTGGAGAGACCGTGGTGATATCAGGAGCTGCTGGTGCTGTTGGTTCACATGTGGGACAGATTGCTAAGATACTTGGTAATAAAATTGAATTTTTTTGCTAAATTGCCCAATGTAACTAAATCGTAGATTAAGAAATTTGATCGATTCATTTTTAAGGTGAAAAAGTATTCGAAAACCAAAGGCTCATAAATGTATTTCGAATCCTTATGATTTTCTCATTTCTTAAAATTTTTAACAGTCACATGGTGTCTAGCCTCCATGTTACATGAAACTTCAGAACACAGTTTAAGAAGAATGGGAGTGAGCGGTATTTTAACTATAATTGTAAATGTTCCAGGATGTCGAGTTATTGGAATAGCAGGTACCGATGAGAAATGCGAGTGGCTGGTCAAAGAACGAGGATTTGATTGTGCTGCCAATTACAAAACCACAGATATAGGAAAATTCCTAGAAGAAAATATTCCAGAAGGCGTAGATTGCTATTTTGATAATGTTGGTGGAGAATTGAGCAGTACAATAATGTCGAAGATGAATAACTTTGGCAGAGTTGCCGTTTGTGGAGCCATTTCAAGTTATAATGAAACTGATCCGGAGAAGCGTAAGGGTAAGATCCAAACTGTTATTTATTTTACACACACAATCTTAATCTCCTTTTCGTTTTGCTTTCGGAATTCGATATAAGAATTAAAAAAAACTTTTATGAACATCGTAGAAACCGAATTCAGCCCCCTCTTCTTGACAGGCTATTAATTAAATACCAAAACCTTTTCCTGAGTGTAACAAATACTTTTCTGAAAACCACATCAAAATCGATTCAGCCAATCACGAGATAATCGCGCACAAACATAAATACATATATACAGTTCAAATTGAGCTCCTCCTTTTTGTGAAGTCTGTTAAAAAACTAATGACTTTTCAATGACTTTGACATTCTCTGTTTCAGCATCCATAATCCAATTTTCCTTCATCGGCAAAGGACTTAAAGCAGAAGGGTTCTTAGTGAACAGATTTGCTGATCGTAATTTAGAAGGAATCAATCAAAACTTGAAGTGGGTGAAAGAAGGAAAGCTGAAATACAAAGAACATGTTTATGAAGGATTCGAATCAGCCGTTGATGCTTTCATCGGTCTATTTAGAGGAGAAAATATTGGTAAAAGTATTGTGAAAGTGAAGTGAAGTAATAATAAGTCTATCGATAAATGATATGAGAATTAATGAGAATGTGTATTAATTATTAAGAGTTTTATGTGATTATTATTCAATCATTGGTAGAAAAACCAGCTCCATAAAAGCTGTAGATACATGTGAAGATTTTACGGCTTCAACAAAAACCATTATACAAACAAGTTTTCCTTATCACTACATAGTATAAAACAAAGTTGCTATCCGCCGTCTGTCTGTCCCTATGTATGCTTAGATCTTTAAAACTACGCAACGGATTTTGACGCAGTTTTTTTAATAGATAGAGCGATTCTTAAGGAATGTTTGCATGTATAATACATGTATATTGCACCCGTGTGAAGACGGGGCGGGTCGCAAATATTCTATATAATGCATAATTTCAAAACATTATCAATATATCTTTAAAAACCAATGAAGTGTGAGGTTACGTCATTTAATTTGCAAGGGAGATCCCGTACTACAGCTCGGTTACCGTCTTCATAAACACGTGCAAGTCTGCAACTCCATACGACTTGTGCAATATTCAACAGAATCAATAAAGAAACAGTTATGTCGCACATTTCTTGACACGAATTCTTAAGCAGAATTTCCTTTAAGGTTCGTTGTACGGTTGTAAAGTTAGTGGTATTTATTTATTTTGTGTAAATTACCTACAATATTCATATTATAACTTTTGTGAGACATACTAATTAATAAATATGTTTTTCGGCTTATTCAGGTAATTACTTGACGAGAAACTCGACTAGTTTCAAGCCACGCTAGAGGTTAATATTTCAATGTCATCATATATCTTCTGAAAATATAGGGAAATGATAAAAGTTTCTCTTCTCTTCAGGAGAATTTAAATTACGTAGGGCTTTAGCTTAGTTAGTAGCTAATAGCCTAGTGGCCATAATTGAGAATTTTATGATGTAAAATTTGAAATTTCACGTACATTCAGGTTAGATTACCAACTTGGGAAAACTACGGTTTAATTTTATCAGAATTGATTATTAAAATGTACGGGTGTCGCGGATAATTCATTACAGGCTTCCCCGATTGCATGGGACAAGTATATCAAAAAGAGACAATCATAAAAATATGCTCTGTGTAGTAAAGGTGTGATCTTAAAGAAACAGTTCCACAAATCCTTAGCCTTCTAACATTCAAACGTCACTATTAGATAAGTAGGTTATGTAAAATTCAATACAATGTATTCAATGTCAAATTATCTTTTATGTGTAAATCAAATATGTACACATCTTAATGTCCTTACAATAACAATAGATCAGTCATAGCATTGACTTTGATACTTGAGAAGGCGATATATTGCCCAGTATAACATGAACGACACACTTTACAAAAATACTTAAGATTACATGTCTTTTTACAGTGGTCATATGTAACACTTGTCTATATAGAAACAGGCGATATGAATAGAGTTTAATAGTTAATTCTATTGAGTAAGTAATTATGTTCTTAAGTGGTTACATAAAAATAAGTACTATAGATGCTTACCTAAGTTTTATTGTGGTGATCTCTTGTAATGATTATGGCATGACTAATTCGGTATTGGTTGAGTAAAAGCATTAAGTATTAGGACTTTCTTATTTCGAAGTCATGAAGGGAATGATTAAGAAAAATGTGAATAATGAGGAAAGATTTTAAAGAAAATAGGTTTTCTATAAAACATTTCTTATGGGAAGACGATGGAGAAAGAGGGATTGAAAAAGGAGAATATGGTAAACGTCTGATACCAAATTGCTGGATAATTACGTAGGTAAGGTATATTCATCAAGAATGAAAGGAAACACATCACAATCTACTTAGAATTTTCTACTACGATAACCTCAATGTTCTTTACTTGACTCAGAGATCAAATCCCTTGACAGGTTGTTGCACTCGTGACCACTCAATCAAAGATTAATTTTATTTTATTTACTTTAAGTCATCTGGCAAAATAATGACCAACTCCTCGTTCAATCATCGACCACGATCAAAAAATTATACATATACATAATATATATATAATTGTAATATGTCTAACTACCTCAATGGTCTGCCTGGCTGATTAGTGGTTCGGAGAGGCTGATCAGATATTCGAAATTTTTACGTTAAAAGTACGGTGCATGGAATTGTGATCGGTATATGGCAATAAACTCGCCCTCTATTACAATTGACTCCTATCAAAAGTACCTGGTGAGAAGTGGGTGTTACATTGAAGGTGCATCTCTGCTAAACCCTTAGGCAAGAAGAGGTACCACCACAGATAGGGCCCAACAAGGCCGATGCCGATTCGGAGTCGCGGAGAACCAAACGGTAAACCGGGGCTCCGGCTCGATGTGCAGGAGAAGAAACGGGATGGTTTTTAGTCAGTAAGAGTCTGACACTCCCTCCTCACCGCCTCACCCAGGCGGGTGCAGTGATTCGATGATATTCCCCCCTTAAAAAAAGGCAAGAAGAGGCACGACGTTAAAGTCTCTGTTTACTCGGCTGTTGTCAGCATGCACGAATATATTCGTGCTATGCATTTTAAACATGTCATGTTGCCCAATTTTACAAGGTATCCGTAGTTAACCTACTGATTTGAGGTCTCCGCCTGTAATGTTATTTTGGTCTCACGGATGTTAGGAGGAAGATTTGGAAGGTTATGAGAATGTGTCTAGTACCTTATGTGCATAGGTACAATTTGGTGAAAAAAATAAGTGTCTGTAAATAAATATCCTAAAAAATAAATGAAGAGGTATTGATTTACGAATTGTACTCGTTGCATCACTGTAGATAATGGGCATGCTTATTGTTAAACTACGAATGAAAGAATTTTATTTTACGATACAAATTATATTACCTATAATATCTCATTGTAGGTACCACATTTACCTCAAACTTAATGTTGATAATACCTATTTTTAATTAACTTGTTTTTTTTTCGAATGACGTCTGAAACACGTCATAGGTAGATAATAAACCAAATAAGCACTAGGTTATTAAAAAAACATTCACATAATTCGTAAAAGATGACAAGTCATTGCTTGGAGATGGACCAACGAGACAGGTTTATGATGCCATTAATATGTGCGGTTAATATAATAAATTCATCGTTTCTTCTTCTTTTGACGCTTACCTTATTCATGTTCCTTAGTCCTTTCTTATTTCATTGAGTTAAATTGACTGTCACTATTTTAATTAAGAAACTACCAAGATGGTGTATATTGCTTATGGCGTTTCACTTTCAATAATATAACTAACACGATATGATGTGGATATATGTTTAGAAATATACTAGAAAAAGAGTATGTAGCTAACTCCTGTATCTTTGCGCTACGTTTGTCTTGACAACTTCACCATCATCAACAGCCAACCAACAGGTTCTCGTCCACTGCTGCACATAGGCCTCTCCAATTGCACGCCATGCCACTGAGTTTGATCTTCAGCTCTACGCATCCAACCACTACCAGCTACTTTGCGGATATCATCACTCTGTAGCTGGAGCTACTTGGCAACTTAAAAGCGCAATAAACAAACGTGAATTAATTTTTATTTTGGTTGCGATATTCAATTATCTCAATAAACATGACAGGTTCTTGACATGACAGGTTCTTCATAAGATATCGTTATATATTATAGATATCGTTTCAGTATGTTTTTTTAAGGGGCAAAATCATCGAATTACTCCTGCTTGGTGAGGCGGGAGGAAGTGTTAGATTCTTACTGAGCCGGGGCCGCGGCAACCCGTTTATTCCTCCGAGGCTCTGTATCAGCATCAGTCCTATTGGGCCCCATCCATGGTGGTCTGATGCCTCTTTGATGCGCGGGTGGAACACGACGCGCCGTACGCCTGGTTTCAGTATGGTTTAGGTACTTTATAATCGCCATAAGTAGGGTAGTCAGACTTTCACCTTTTCATATCTAATTACATTAATAATTGGTTTGGATTTGCTCTAATAATGACGGTAACGTAATGTTGGTCTTCAGTCATGCATATGTTAAAGTTTTTCCATCAATTTAAATGACTTAATATCCATTTTACGTGTATCAGTAGTTGTTGGTATAAAAAGTATATTTACTATGTATTAAAATACACTCATTAGGTAATTAAGCAAATAAACAAGTTGAATAATTTTGTTTTAGGTAATAGATGAAGGCAAAAAAAGACTTTATCTACGGATTTACTCACATTTTATATTTTGAATGTCAAAAGCTTTGTTATAAATGTGAGACAGTTCCACAAAAAATAGTAAAAAAATCGTGGTCTAAAGATAAGCACTCAATTTGGAGCCGATTTTTCATATTTATCTGGCCTTGGAAAAATCGGCCATAAGGAGCGATTTTTCAATGCTCAGTAAAATTTTTAGAAAATAATAACTTTCAATATTAGACAATTCTTCCATACTAAAACAAACAGACAGTTAGATAAACATTTTTATCAAGACCACAACTTAGTTAAACATACAGTACCGAACATAAGTTATATTTGATCCTGCGGCCTTAAGTTCGATCTCAGTTCAATCCTTTCAAATATAGAAACAGATAAATCAGTGGCGAGACAAATCTCTGACCTTGGCTATGTGTCGCTACCGGACTTCTTAACTTAGAAGATTGCATCAGATCTTAGTTTGTATTGTACACACGTGTTTAAAGACAGGTCAACCTTTTTATAAATAATAGTATTTTTAAAAAGAATTGTAGAGTAATTATTACTGGTCATATCAATTTAATCACTTTTTGGTATTAATAAATTTAACTCGACTGCCTCGTTGGCCGAGTGGTCGCAAGTGCGACTGCCGGGCGAGGGGTCTCGGGTTCGATTCCCAGGTCGGCCAATATTACTGGGTTTTTAAAAATCTCAGTACTAGCACGGAGTCTGGATATGTCCGGTATATGGCAATAGGCTCACCCCCTATTACATGGGACTCATAACATAAATAGTGAAAAGTGGGTGGGCGTGATGGTATGTGAATTTAACTTTTTCTTAAGTATTTTCTGGTAGGGATTTCAATTTCATGTCAATATCA